TTAAAAAAATCATTCAAAAACATAACGATTTGAATGAATAAACAAGTCTTAGAAATATAAGGTACTAGGCCTATGTTGCAAATGTGGCACATGGTTGTAATTAGTGGAACAATGATCTGCCCGCATGTACCGCCAACTGTTCACGAAGAAGTAGAAACACTGTGTACATTACTTTTCCATACCAGTTAAATAGCTGATACACCTTGCAGGATTAAAGTGATATTTTAGTTTAGTTCTGAATTTATGTTTATATTGGTGACATAATAAAATAGTGGTTTTTAATAAGTTTTCTCACAGAAACATTGCAAACCAAAATCCAAACACTTTTCGTAATATGTACATAATAACAAACTTTTCACTTGACGATCTTATAAAATGCAAAGACAAAAGTGGAAATATTTCAATTGCGAATGTTTGCTGTATACCAGATAGCAATCATAAACAGCATAAAAGAATGTGTATGATGGGTCTCTCATTAGTCTGTAGTGGAACTAGCTAAAGACAACATCTCATTAACAACAAATTATATCGCAAACATTGCAAAGGTAACATGTACAAATAGTTATCTCCAACAGTTTTATGTCGTATATATAGCTAATTTCTCAAATTTAACAAAATTCCTACTATGTTTCCAATAAAAGAAGCAAACTTTGAGTGTATAATATGCATGGACAAAAAAATCGTAATTTACTCTTCTTACCGATGCAAACACTGTTTCGCTTGCGACATGTGTGGATGACAATTTGACAACTGTTGTCACTGTAGTAGACCTCCAATAACTTCTATGATCCAAATGTTTAGTTTTAGCTTAGAACTGTATTAGGTTTAAGTTTTCAAAACAATTATATTCCTTTTATGTAAATTTTGATTTTTCAATAAAGAATTAAAAATCAGCATATCGGTACTTATCCCTTTACCGATATGCTGATTTTTTTTTAAACCACAACAATAACCTTGAAAATATCGATCCACCCTAGGTCTGACACGTCAGCATGACGTCACCATACCGTAACCCACCACACCACGTGCTAGGTCACGCACCATTACCACCAGATGCTTAACCGTCAATTAAGCACCACATGGCTCTTGTGACGTCACTCCTCAGCAGCCCTATGTATCCACTACTACTTGACCCACGCGCACGTGCACTTAGGACAAATAGTTGTGTGAATTATTTGGCAGGGTTTGAGTTGGCAAGACTGTGTTCCCCTTCCATTCTCCTTTAACCAACCGCTACCGCTATCGCTCTTCGTGCATAAACCAACGATGTAAAAACTACTGGATTGCGCTCTCAGTAGCACTGCGGGCGCTGTTTTCGGTCTAGCTCCCCCCACCATCTACTGGCAGTAGCCGACGCAGCCCATACACTCACCATTGTAAAACGCACCTTTTTAAGTTGCTGCTCTGTTTAAATATATAGGTATAAAATATTGCTAATGTATGCCAAACACTTTTTAGTATTCTAAACTTTATGTCTTCTTCTTTTCTTGCAGAAAATAACACATTTGAACTCTTAAAAACCCTACTACATTTGTCCAGTTTTTACCGCAAATCTCTGCTTGACATTAACGTGATAAGCATACTTTTTTGACCTATTTTGTAAGATACATTGTCATAGGCCCCGGCCACACGAGGCGGTTTAACCGCGCGAAGTTAAGGGCTTCGACAACACATTGAATCAAATGAGAGTGGCCACACGAGGCGAAGTTTAGCCGCATGTGCGGTTGAGCCGCAACATGTCGTCCCCCGACCGCGCGAAGTTAAGCCGCGTTGGAGGGGATGACACACGTAGTCTTATGAGAGTGGCCACACGATACGGTTCGACCGCGCGGCAGCCGCGCTCATTGGAGGTATCTTCGGACATTTCCAGTGGTATTTGAGTTTGTTTTGTGTATTTTTTACCGGTTGTGTGGTGTTCAAACAATGTTTGATACATATGTACTCCGAACTATGGTTTCGCATGTGCTCGTAAAAGGTTTGGAACACAAAAAATTGTTTTTCCTTTATGAAGGGATGGACCCAATGATTTATGTTAACGTTCCAGATCACCACACGCTTTTAATGCACAAACTAACATAAGTGTTTCGCCCATGACTAAAAAGAGTGAACTGAACTAGGTTTTAATAGAGTACTGATACTGGGAAAACCCAACAGGAAGCGGTTCATCCGCCCCGTGTGGCCAGGTACTTCGCGCGGCTTAACTTCGCACGAAGATAAGCCGCGCGGCTTAAATTCGCCTCGTGTGGCCGGGGCCTTAAACATTGAAAGAAAAAAATATCACGTTTACGTCAAACATAATGTTACCACTGCGGGAAAAACTTTATTAAAATTATTCTAAATGTTTATGTACTATTTTTTCGATTAATAACAAAGAATTTCAATTACAAATATTGTACTTTCTATTTCTCTTTTGTAATCACTTATTATTTTACTATGTACAATTAGGAACTAGCAATATCAGTTGTCTAAAAACATCTACAAAACGGGTTAAGTGAATTTGTAGTTTTAAAGAATTCAGATGGGCTATTTCTGCAAGAAACAAAACAGACATAAAAGGTTTAACTAGTAAAAAGAGTTTGACAAGCGTTAGCAATATTTTATCCCTATTAATTTCAACAGAGCAGCAAATAAAAAGTGTGTTTTATAATGGTGCATGTATGGGCTGCGTCGGCTTCTGCCAGTCGATGGTGGGGGTAGCTCGACCGCGCGGCCAACACTGAGCCAGCGATCCATGAGTTGTTTATATCGTTGGCATAAACAGACTCTTTTACAGCGGGAGCGGGCCCGCTATCGCACCGCTCCCGCACTTGGTGCATAAACGGGGCCTAAGTATAGCTATACATGCCACCTTATATTACGTACCATACTAGTTGAAATTTGCATTACTTACGAACACTAGGTTTAGAGGCCTACAGACAGACACAGAACTAGATTCGAACCAAATAAAAATAAACTATCAAAATATAAACCACTTAACTTACATTATATTGTCAAATAAATTATATTAAACAATATACGTATGTAAAGTATGCCGGAAAATGACTTAAAAATTGTATAAGTCGTTACACTTTATTATAACACACAGATTATTTTATGGCAAAACTTAATTACACACAAACGTTTAGGGTAACTAGTTTAGTAACACATTTCATGAAAATGGAAATCTGCCAGAGTAGGAACAAGCTAAATTTAGTATGACCTTTTTGCAATGACAAACACCACTTGTTATTTCAATCACAAACAAGGGCCCTTTTTGTCTGTGGTTAAACCAAATTATATTGCACTGAAAATAACTATAAAATGTTACCTCGGCTGCTATAGACTTAAACAAAATATTAAATTTCTTAAAAAAACCTGAAACCCAAAGTTACAGTTCTGGTCTCGACGTTCTTAGTGGTGCAAAATCCGTAAAAGTTTATGATTATCACGTCTAATGTAAATTCTGTTAGTATTAGGCCTAACTTATTGATATGGCTAACCAGACTAATCTGCTTACGTGAAAGGGTTTTGGACTGTTGGGGGGGGGGGGAATTGGATAAGTTACAAAAATATATTCTTTAGGCCTAAAAGTTTCTTTCATAACAGAAATAGTATCTTTCCTCACTAGGGCGTAAAAAGACTTTTTACGACCGGAGCTAAAGTTTCAAGACGAGGCGAAGCTCTATGATGAAATAATACAATGTGGCAAAAAATGAGATATGAATTAACGAAAACATAACACAAGTGGTGATACTTGGCAACAACAACAGGCATGATTCAGGGGCGTCATTTGTGGGGGGGGGCAATGCCCCCCCCCCTGGATCCTGGGCTAGAGAAACAAATATGCTGTACTAGCCAATATACAAATATTATCTCCTGTCAAATCCTAAAAAGCACAGCAGACTAAAATTTTTATATTCTCTTACAGTAATTTGAAACAAAAATTATTATTGTTTTATTGTCTTAGCACATTTTGAGTTTACATAAATTAGTAATTTTGTTATTCATTTACTTTTTCTGTTTGGTGCTGTACGATAAACCACTTACTTCTAGTTGATATATATACATAAAAAATCAGATTTTTTAGAAGCATTGCTTTTTGTCGTTTACTTTTATGAATTATTCAAGTATTAAAATTATACATGTGGATAAATTTTACGTAATTTATTTTTAACATTGTAGACTACCAATTTAATATAGAACCTTTTGAACTTTTGTGTCAAATTATTTTATTGGTGATAAAATTTGATTTGCTTTTAAGTTCTTAAATACTTGTATTTTATTTAAAAACCAAAATAAACTGTTATAAACTATAGGCTATGAACAACCGTATTCATTGCTAAATGTTGTACAAGAGAAATTGGTCATGAATCTAATAACAAATATAGTACATATCATGGAACTATTGATCACGTTTCTTAGATGACTAACTTACCAACATAAAACTATTGTGTTTCTGTCTGTTGTCAATAATTCTTAGTTTCATTAATTTTCTGCCTAGATTTAAATAAATTTTACTCATAATTTTGTTTTTATTTGAAGTGCTTTTGACAATTAAAATAAGCTTATTAACCCCTCTTTTTTTGTTTCAAAACTGCAAAATTTTCTAGGGGAGGACCCCGGACCCCCCTTATTTGCTTGGGGGGTCATACCCCCCGGTGTTTGCCCCCCAAGGATTTGGTCAAATTACGCCACTAGCATGATTAATTATGACTAGAGCTAGGGAATGTAAGATATTCTACTGTAGTGAGTAGAATTATCAAGATACATAGAAGAAAGAAATCTTCCTTCTATGCGTGTAATATTTAAGTCATTAGTCAATGGTGAAGACCGACTAAGCGGGAAATGTGATCAGATGAAGGGAAATTCCGCTCCGCTACCAGCTGTCTTTGGTAACACTGGTATCACATGATTTAAAATGAATAATTACTGTCGTCTGTTGGTTGTTTATTCAGCAGGTTGTGTTGTGTTGTGTTGATACCAGCTGGTTGATACCATCACATCGATGGTTGATACAAGATAAGATACACTTGTGTCGTGTTACCTACTGCTACTGCAGTTGCCGGTACTTGTGTTGTAAGATTAAAGTGTATGTAATCACTTATCAGTAATCAGTTGACTGCAGAACCAGTGAGTAAAGGGTAAGCCGATTTAAGGCTATTCAACCTAACTTACATGTAACCTAAATCTCAGGTTTTTCATAGGCCTAGTAATTTACTTCTTTAGTAACTTAGGTAGGCTACTTTATTTTAAAATGTTTACATTTTAAATAAAAGTTGTTGGCTAGGCCTAGGCATATTAATTAGGTTGAAGGATTTTGCAACTTGCAAGTAGGATATTATTATTTGAGAATATGCCCTAAATAAGGGTACTGTTTTCTTTGAAAAGTTGCCATAATTTATTTTAAATAAGTTTTAAATTGACAGGTTTACAACGTTAAATAGGCTTAGCTTAATTTCTGGTCATTTTTGTCCTCGAGTCTAGTAAAGTGACATTTTGTGAGTAAAAATCAAATCTGGGAAACTGGTCCAAACTCCTGCAGAATGTGTGTGGATATGCTGGGAATGGTATCCCTCCCCTTTCGCACCGAATTCTGAGACGCCAACCACTATTAAAACATCCAATCAAGCTATTTATCAAATCCATTATTTAATCTGCCAAACTAAAAAGTTTAGTGATTGCATTCTTTCAAATCTGCTAAGTTAATCATTCAGCCAACAGAAATCCTTCAAGATGATTAAAATTGAACTTAGTTTTTTTTTATTATGCATGATCTAAGTTACGCCATTAGGATTTTGATTTTTTTTCTGAAGGAGAAGGTAAGTTCTGAATCCTAGTTTTGTTAGGTAGGCCTACTAAATAATGTCAACCTATTGTTCTAAATAATGTCAACCTATTGTTCTAGGTAAGGTTCATATCATAAGAGCGCTATTGCCGTCACGCAGATGCCGTCAAGATAGCGCCCATGTCATATGTGACGGCAAATGCGTTGCGTCGATCCCGTCCTGCCAACGCCGGGTGCTTGTCATATGGAGTGTCTTCCCGACGCATTTGCAGTCACGGCACTTATTTTATTTTTAAGATGGACACCATCCAGTTAGGTAGTATAAGAATTTTGAACAAAGAGTATTATCAGAAGAATCCAAGACGATGGGGAACCCATCCGGCTCTTTCTGTACGTTTGTCGGCAGGTGAGTTTCATCTAATGTTCCAGGAACAGAGGAAAAGTATGAAGAGATATTATTTCGTTACTGTAGAATGTCAGTTGATTCTCTTGACAAACTTCTTAGTACCTACAGAGGAAAATTTTCAATTGTATAAATAAATTTTTCTGTGTCAAACATGATGATCACTCCAAAAATGTCTTCCAGTTGTTCTGCCAGCAGTCGTGTGGCAAATGGGTCTCGCTGACGCTTTTAGCGCTCCACATGACAGGGTCCCCCCCATCACTAGCGCCGCGTCACTAACGCGACCGCCCACGTTGGCAGCGCTCATATTCCGGCTAACGCACTCTTGCCGATGGCATTAGCGTCCGTATGACTAGCTCCATAAGAATCCCATTGCTGGGATGGAGCAGCATCAACGCGGTGGCAATAGCGCTAGTATGATATAGGCCTAAGTTAGCACCAATTAATTGATAGTCCAATGACAAAATGGCATCTGGATCCAGAAGCAGATCTCGCTTGAATTATTAAATTGCAGTTTTACTCAATTAAATAAGAGTTGACTTTGAGTTTTAGTCACTTGGCCCATGACTTACCGGTATATTGTTTCTTTGTTCCAGTCTGCTGATAATCAAAGGAGCTGCCGAAACTCCTGCCGTCATGTCTTGGGTTGTTAAAGCTGTAAACAGGACTCATACGGATTTTTCCTCAGGTTGGTAAAGATGTGGAAAGATCCGCCCTAGGGCAGCTACACATAACTTGGATTCTTCAAGGCCATGGCCCAAGTCCTGTCCTAGACCAAAGTAATTTTTGCCTGATAAGCTTGGGTGTTTAACTAGAATTAGGCTTTGTGTTTAAAAATTAATTTCATGTTGTTTCTTCCACTTTAAGTACAGTATTGCCGACATTATTTTACAGAGACAAACAAAGAATGGAAAGAGCCTTTCTTTTTCGTCCAAGGTGCGGACACTCAGTTTGGAATGTTTGCTGATTTCACTGAAGTAACCACAGAACCAAAATGGGCAAAGGAAATCGAACTTGCAGAACTTGCTGTGAAAAAGGTCAATGAAATGAGACCAAAACCAAAGTTTTATGTTATATGTGGAGACCTTTGCCATGACTATTATGGTAAGTATTTCAATAATATTTTACACCGTAGGTTAATTGGTTCTTTTGTTAGAATGTCATCAGGAAGTTTTGCCTTTCAATTTGAAAACTTTTTCAGTTGAAGTATGAATATGCCTACCATATTCATCATATACTCAATGAACTTATGAAATTTAAATTTATCTACTTAATGTAAAGTCCTCTGTAGAAATGAAGGTTACCACACTTCTAAAGCCAGTTCTGGTTCTGATAAACATGTATTCTTGGTACAAGAACCATATCGGCCCTCAAAGCTACCTATTAAGTGCCCTTTCATTAGAAATTTCACTAAATACTAGTTGACTTTTAAATTGTTGAAAAAGCTTGAATTTTTTTATAGCCTATATCAAATAGTGCACACCCTTGCTCAACAATTTAATGTCTGTTCTCAGTACCGGACTTTTCCCTAGAACCAGAATGGTATCATAAGCTAGCTGCTTTCAGGTACTGAAACATCATATTAGTTGTCTGGTAACAATATTTGTTGTTGTGCCAAAATGTTATTAATTAGATAGCAACCAATTTATTCTAATAAATTGATGACTAACTTAGCCTAGTAATTTTTTACATAGGTACCGGTACTGCATGTTTGTAGCCTTAAAAGCTTTTATGCTATACTCGTCCTTACCGTCTTCATTAATCCTATTCAATACCTAAAAACTTAGCTGAAAATATAAGTAGGGTAGTTAATTATACCTACTAGTATATACTTATGAAAAATATTCAAAGTTATATTTTTAAAAAAATTAATTAAATTACTTGATATGTTACATTTAAGATATGAAAAGTAAGAGGTACCATTTTAAAAGAAAGAAAAAAGATCCAAAAGAAAACAAAAAAATTTCTAAGAAAAAACAGAAGACCTACAAGAAAATGAATCAGTCTCTAATGTCTACTGGTAGTGTATATCCATTATACTGTATAGGTGACACTGTAATCAAAACTGGCAGGTAAATTATGAACAACAATGCTAAATGCTTTAGAACCAATTACTAACTTAACAAGTTATTCTACAGTTTCAGAACAACTGTGATCGTTCAATTTTGGTTCTCAGTTTTACAGAAGAACGTTATTCAATTAATAGGTTTGTAGTGCTTTTATTTAGAGACTAAATAAATAGAAAAAAGTTTAGAGTATAAATTTATTTAAAACTAAAAAAAAAACAGATATATTATAACTCATATCAGTAAAATTATCAAACCCTTCAAATTAAGTACTGATTGTGAATTATTGTAGCTGGCATTGAGTAAGATAAAACCATAAATAAGTTAGTAAGATAAACTATATAAAATTCTTATATAAAAACACTTCTTGATAAACAATTTATGTGTTCATTAAAATAGACAAAGAATCTCCAATAGGTTATTTAATATTTTTAATGTCGACTTGCATGTACAAAAGGTGCAAAAGGATTGTCGGTTTTTAAAAGAATATAACGCAAATTATTTTACACATTAAATTTTACTGAATTACGTTTCTGGACACTTTCAAATGCCCCATTACAAAAAATAACCTTGTAGGTTAAAAAGTTGCTCATAACCAAAAAACCATAAAAATTTAAAAACAAAAAATTAAAAAAACCATAAAAAGGTGCGGACTTCAAAGCACCGACGCCCTTACGGTCTCTATGTTTTGTGGACTAACTGCTGTCCAGTAGATTTACCACTCATGACGGACTCCCCTGAAATGGACTACCCTGTTGTCCGAAATGCAGTCACCCAATGTGATATGATCTGCGATCAGGAACCAGTCCCTTATGGGCAACACTAAAATGTCAAAACAGCCATTATATAGTAATAAAAGATTCACTGTTTCTGAAAACACTGTTCCACAGCAAAAACGCGGTGCTCGACCGTCCACTGCGCCATATCGCTACAAATTGATGGTCGACTTGCAGATGGCTGGCAGTGGTCCTGACCCTCCACCAACTACTAGTACTACCGTACATGTAGTTCAAATCCGACCATCCTTATATACTAAGTGACATAACAAAAATCTATATTTTTCCAGGAATACAGTAAAATCTCACTAACTCTACACCCGGTATCTTGACAGTCAACAGCTGATAAGGTGCAGGCAATAATAATAAGCAAATTTTCCAGAACATTTAGTTTCCATTTAAATTCAACATGTAATATTCAACATTTCTTTTAAGATTGTTTACTCAATATGTGAAAATACTCATATGAAATGTATATATAAAAATTAGTCTGTTAAGAATTTATGTATTAGAGCGGATATCACATAATTCAACAAATCGCGTCCCTTGTTCGCAAAATCGAGGATATAGTAAAATATTTTATTTTAAGGTCCTAAATATGTTAAGCGGTATGTATTCTTGAGTTTTTAATAAAAAAATTGCATATTTATGTGATTTTGTGTTATTTATAGGACCAAAAATACCTCCTTTTTCCCGGCCGTCCCATGTCCCGATTCACGTTTTTGACATTTAAAGCTGTATAAAAATCACTTACGGCTTACTAAACCTTCCGAAATGAAATATAAAATGGTCCAAAAACATTGTAGATTACTTTTTAGGATGAATCTTGCCAAGTTTCTATCCTATTTAGTGGTTGTGTCAGTGCAAAGTATGTCCCGACAGTTTTTGTTCCCGGCCGTCCCGGCAACTGTTTTAGTCCACGAAACGACCGTAGGGCAGCGCTAGTCCCCACTCAAGATTTATTTTGGTAGAGAAGCTCGCCATCTTGATTCTGTGCAGTTGACAAAACAGTTTCGTGTAAATGTTGTGTTTCCACTTGAGGATAAGTTTTCAAAAAGGTAAGCGTGATTTTATTACAATCCAGACCGTCCTGTGTGTTATTTTAAGTAATAGTAACAATTGTATGTAGATTTGCACGTGTATCGATTGTAATACATCACTTTTAAGTAAACTCCTCGCAACCGGCATTTCGTTTGAGGTTAGCCATAGTTTTAACCAAAAACGATGTTTCAATTCCAGACCATCCCTATCCAGACCGTCCCTTCAGAATCAAACCTTGTTGGGGACGGCCTGGAATGAATTAGGACGGCCTTGAATCATTTTGCTTATATCGTATATCTTATATATTTTGCTTATATTTAATATCAATAAATGTGAGTAATGTTATATTATTATGGTTGCAGTTTTATTTAACAACGCTTAGGACTAAATTATTTATTTATTATTATTTTTCTTATTTAGGCCTAGAATTTTTTATTTGTATTTTTTTTTTTATTTTTAAGGTACGCCCGAAAGGTCGTGTGTAGCCTTTTCAATTAAAACTTCTTGTTTGTCTGTGAAATGCTGATAATGATCATTGATAACGCTCGTGGTCGAATTTTGTTTATTAAAAAAAAAATCAAATCACTACGATGACTTTTTTGTGGCAAATTACATTTGAAATCACAATTAGTTAGTTTTTGACGTAACTTTACATATCATTGCAAAATATTTACCGGTAATTGGTTTTATTCAAAGTTATACGCTTATTTACATTAATAAAAAAAATACCTATTTGCTTGGATTAATTTATCAATATACTTTTAATACATGAGCAGATTTTTGTGTGAACTTCAAGTTTTTGGTGTGATTGGAAAGAGCTAAACATGTTGTTTTGCAGAAACCCTTTTATATAAAGAAATAATTTTAAGGTAATCCAAGGGCTCCTAAAAGTTAGTTTTCCCCATAAGCTTGTTATTAGGAAATAACTGCAGGTTTTAAGCAAATCAGCTCAATAGATTTAACACAGTAAATCAGCGAATATTGAATATCAAATAGTATCTCTGCAAGACAATAACAATAAGATGATTCAATAAGATGATTCATTTATCAATAATGCTATTCAATCACGAGCGTCCGCGACAGGCTGATTAAGTATATTAAGTCATACATACATGTTTTATAGGAACTTTCTTTCAAAGATAATATGTACAAATTCAATCATAAAATATTACCATAGTTGAATCCTATGCAGGGTATACTTATGTTTCAGTTTTGAAGAATGGAAGAAGAACCATATCCATCATGCAGTATGCCTAATCAGGCTAATGATTCGGAATTTAAACAAAAATTAAAAAAAGATAGAATTGAAGCATGGAAAAGAAATAAGATTAAACTACAAGAAAAAAAGGAATTACAAAAAGAGAGGAGACAGTTGCTAAGAATAAAGCTAAAAAAAAATAAATGTGAGGGCGAAAATAGTGGAATTAACGATTTAACTAAAAAAGATCAAACCCAAGTTCATAGTAGCTTAAATGAAAAAGTAGACAGTTTGAAGACCACTGATAACACTAATAATAAAAAGGAATTAAACAAAAAGAAGAATTTGAAGAGTAAAACGCCCCAAGAGAGAAAGGATTATGAACGAGAGAAAAAAAGAAAGCAGAGGGAGAAAATAATGCAGGACCCTCAACGTTTAGAGGCACAAAAAACATATGAACGTGAAAGAAGTAGGAAAAGGAGGGAAGAAGGGAAAAAACCTTACATTGGCCAAATGAAACCACGTGAAAAAAGACACCAAAGAAAACTTTGGCGGGAGAGCAAAAGGAGGGCCAAAGAACGAGCGCTGGCTGAGAAAGATTTTAATGACATGTTAGAGGAAAACAGTCCTCCGCCATCACCTGTGCTTATACCACCCGTAGTACGGCCTCAACAAGTAAGTGGGAGAAAACGTCTGAGACGTGATAGAGCAAAAGCAATAAGAAGCTTGGAAAAATTAAGAATGATCTTAAAAAAAGTGAGGCATTGAAAGAAAAGTGGAAAAAAAATATTATAGGATGGTTGAAACTAAATCTCCTACCCCCAGAAAAAAGGCAAACCTTATAATACGTCAAGGAATAAAACATATTAAGAAGAAACTGATCTTCGGAGAAGCACTCAAATCTCAATTGAAAGAAAACATTTCAAATACTAAGAGCAATGAAGAAAAACAATTGTTTTACAAGTGTGTTGCCGGAGGGAAATTAAAAAAATATAAGATGCTGGGGGAAGCCAGTGAAATTCTTAAACGGAGTAGTGAAAGAAAGTACAGAAATAAAAATGATGATAGGGCAAAGGCTCCGAAGATATCATATAACAGACTACAAAGGGGGCTTGCTACAAGTATTAAGAAAAAGAAAATTGTCACAGCATTTTTGGAAAATGAAGAAAATCGTAAAATAGCTCCTGGGAAAAAGGATGTTTTAACAAGAAAAAAGGTTAGAGTTCAAAAAAGGTTCCTCTCTGACTCCTTAAAAAATCTTTACAACAAATTTTCCGTGCAATATGGAACAAACTTTTTATCATACACGACTTTCTGTAGGTATAAACCATTTTACATAGTTGAACCAAAATTGTCAAACAGAGATACGTGTCTTTGCATAAAACATGAAAATATGAAACTTCTTGTTGACAGATTGCTGAAATGCAAAATAGTAGAAAACAAAAATCTTGATATTATATTAGATAAGATTAACTGCAACTCAAACAATTATGACTGTGTCTATGGATATTGCAGGAGGTGCCAAAACAAGGCCATACAATTTGATGATTGCAAAGATCAAGAGACAACCTTTTTCTTCCAATGGACGAAGAAGAAAATCACAGTCACTGGAAAAAAAGGGGACAAAACCTCAAACGTTACGATAAAAGAAAAGATACAGTGTACTGTTCAGCATCTGAAAAAAGAATTCAATGCACTATTGCCTCTCTATAACAAACATGTTTTCAACATGAGACACCAATTTCAAAGCCTGAAGTCACTAAAAAACTCTATTTCAGAACACGAGTCAATAATTATCATTGATTTTAGTGAAAACTACGAAACAAAGTACTCAAAAGAGGTACAAAGTGTACATTTTGGGGGTTCTAAAACCCAAGTAAGCATACAAACAGGTGTTTGTTTTTTTGTTAATAGTTCGACAAAGAAAATCTGCATTAAACAATTTGCTACCGTTTCGGATAATTGCAGCCACAAGGCCCCAGCAGTCTGGGCCCATTTGCTTCCTGTTTTAAAATGGGTTATGACTAACCTCAACCCAAACATCAACACAATATACATTCAAAGCGACGGCCCTACAAGCCAGTATAAAAACAAAATAAATTTGTTCCTTATGACACACTTTGCTGAAATTTTAAAGTTATCAAGCTTTATTTGGAATTTCACAGAACCCGGCCACGGGAAAAGCTTAGCTGATGCAGTAGGAGGCCAGTTAAAAAGATTTTGTGACCAGCAAGTTTTGTATGGAAATGACATATTGAATGCCAAGGATGTATACAACAGTGTTAAATCTAGCGCACAAGTTAATGTTGAGGTTTTTTTAATTGGTAGCAAGGATATAGATGATGTGGAAAAACTAGTCCCAGGTGCGCTGAAGCCCATTCCCAACACACTTAAACTGAGGCAAGTACTTTGGAAAAACGATAAACAAAATAGAATATTTCTAAGACAACTCACCTGCCTCCAGTGCGTTGAGCTTTGCAAACACTATGGCCTTCCCTCCCCACACTACTTCAAAGAAGCTGATCACTGTATCCTTTAACAATTGTATTTTAGTCTAGGTGACTAGACTGTGTTTTTACTCTTATTTTTCAATGGGGCTACTTCTAAAAAAAATGGTTTGGACACATTTAAAAATTGAATATGCAGATAATAAGAAATTTTCAAATTACTTGCAGTTTGAATTTAAGAAGCAGTTTTTTATTAACGTTTACTTTAACATTGTTCTCAAACAGTTGAAGAGAGTATTTAATTTTTTAACAAAAAAAAAAATTTTGTTATGGCATTATTTGCATTTAATTTTTAGAGAATATATTTTTTTGTATTCTATTCATCAGGTATTGAGTGTGGTATGATCGACTTTAACTTTTGGTTGAAAAATTGTTATAAAAAAATACTTAGATTTGTGTACTTTCCTTAATATTGGTTTTCAGCTGTTGCGACCACATCAAGGGAAAGACTTCACACATATTCAGATTATGATGAAGAAGATTCTACTCTTGAGCCTATTACACCATTGCCTGATGTCATTAATGATCTTTCCGTCGGGGATTTCATCCTTGTGAGATTTTCCTCAAAAAAGACATTTAAACTCTATGTTGGCCAAGTTATCAGCAAATATGACGATGGTGACTTTGAGGTTAAGTTTTTGCGGAAAACTGTAGGAAACAAATTTGTTTTTCCACAAGCGGAAGACATTGCATCCGTGCAAATCCAAGATGTAATTCAAGTTTTAACAAATTTTGAAAAACATCGGGACATTTATTATTTTCATGATTTGTCAGTAAACTCTAACATTTACTAATTGTAAATCTTGTAAACAGCCTTTTTCATAATAAAACTTTCTCAGTTTATTTTTTTTAATCATTTTACTCATAACTAAAAATCGTGCTCATCCTTTATACTCCAAATTGATCATGTTTCCAGGCCGTCCCTTCCAAGCCGTCCCTTACCTCCAGACCGTCCCCTTCAATTCCTGACCGTCCCCCTAACTAATATCAACAATTTAAATATTTTAAAGCAGCTTTGGTACGAAAATCATTTTTTTCAATATTGTACTATATGTAGGCTTACTAATATAATGTAATTATGTAACTTTTTCCTTGGGTATTATTGCAAATTAAAAAAAAAAAAAGTTTTTTTTTCAATTTTAGCTGTGGCACAGTGTCAGTGGGTAGGTACATAATAGTTTTACTTAATTTTTTAAAATTTTAAAGCTAATACACTGTCAAACTGGACCGAAAGTAATATTTAAAATGTTTTAGGGAGAGTATTTACTTAAAATAATATCATGGGAGCAACTAAGCTTGCTGGGGACGGCCTGGATTAATTTGTATACTTTTCTTTCCTTATTAATTTTTTAAGCTTATTCATCGACATGTACTGCGCTGCCCCTGCTATTTTGTAAAAGTATAGTAAAATACCATTCCAAAAATGTATATAAAGCTATGGTTAAGAAAAAAAAAATTCTGGTTTTTAATTTCTCAAAATGTTGCATTATGTGATATTGGCTCATTAAATAAAACGCATTACAAATTTCAATGTTCTGGATAACTCGATTACCTCCGAGTTGAGTTAGTGAGGTTTTACTATACCTTAACTTATTAAAGACTATAACAAGTGTTTTATTTGAATATTTTTTTGCAGATAAAGAACCAGATGTGAGGGCAGCGCAAGACGCAGATTTCAAGAAAGTGTACAGCAAATTAGATCCTACAATTCCTCTGGTGTGCGTTTGTGGGAATCATGACGTGGGAGACAATCCAACTTACGAATCTGTTCGCAAGTAAGACCTATGATTCATTCTACTAAAATCAGTTAAAGTTACATGGAATGTCTTTCTGAAAAACAAAGCAGATCATATCATTAAAAATGTATAGATTAAAAGTCAAAGATACATTTATGGATTGTAATTGAAACCAACTTGATTTAATTCATGTTCTTATGTAGTTCATTCATAATCCACAATAATTTAAGAAATTTAGTGCCTCTAAGGCAAAGCCTGATTAGAGGTTCCGCTACTGTTAAACCAGTGGTGCAGTGGAGCGGGAAGGTGTGGGAATGGCGTTCCTACTTACCTTTTTCAAAAAACCTATATTGTTAAAGTGTTTTACCTACGACCGTTTTTTAAGTAGCCTTTTCAGTACAGTTCTTAGAATTGAAAAGTATCTCATAACAGCATTGTTTACTTTCATAACAGCATAGTTTTACTCATAACAACACGGGTAACGGACCAATGCGGTTCAAGGATTGAGAGAGGAGAAGTAAAATTGTAATGATTCAAAATTCAACTAATCAGCTGTTCAGGCCAATTTAATTGTTGATTGGTGCAATTAGGCCTAGTGTTTGATAAATGTTTTGTCGCATCACTGTCAGTGGCAATGAGAGGTTATAAACGAAAACATAACCTCTCTTATAAGTTATGAGTAGGTAGTGATTTTTAGTAATTAAAACACCGTTGGAGGTAAAGTAGTGTACGCAACTCGCGTAGTGTTAACGACACTCATAGAAGTTTATAAGGCACTCGCCAAGGCTCTTACCTTAAATTTTCTACTCGTGTCGTTAACACTACCTTTACACAATCGTTGCATAAACTACTATTACATACCAGTAATGTTGATAATCCAAATTGTTGCATTACAACTTCTAGTTTTGGCTTACAATGGAGCCAATCTTCAGGTTTTTACAAGGACATTGTCGCTTCTTCTGAAGGTCGTCAAAGTTCATAAAGATTTACAAAACAGATCACATTTAAATCACACAACATGCATGACTAGGCCTAGCTTTAACAACACTAACGGCGGCGGTTATGCAAAGACTCCTAAGTTAGTAGTCGTTTACAGGAGGTCATTCTGTGGGCAGGTTACTTGACTCAGGTAACTTGAAATACATAAGAGGCAAGTAACCTGTCCCGTAACCTGCCGTATTCTACTGGTAAACACGGCTTTACAGACTAAAACCAACCTTTTCACATCCAGGACTGTTTACCGCCATTTATTTACCTTATGGTGAAGGACAGCTTGGTTCAGTTTTGCCGTCAACTTTTCTAACTTTTCTCAGGATTGAACCATCAACCTATTAACTGATTACCAAGGGAGCACTTCAACCACCCAGCTACCCTACCCAGGTATTAAATACACACTTTACATAGAACATTAACAATCACACTACAACTGATGATCATTCACATAGTTCACAATGTTTTTTTTTTTCAAAAGAAAGTAAACATTTTCAGGAGAAAGCTGTCACAAAACAGTCTGCTTCCTGTTTCTGTTTTTTATGAAATGGTTGCTCAAAGTAAATTTAGAATCTAGTATCCAACTAACATAGCCAGTAGCCTACTTCAAGGCGTCAAATGAAGCAACTCTTATCCCAATTAGGATTTTTACAACCAGTGTTAACCCAAAACAGGCAAAAAGTTATTCATTTTAAATGTTAACTGTTAATTTATTTGGTTTAAAAGCTTTACATAAGTTTATTAAGTCTTTAAGTTAAAGGTTACTGAATCTTTTCAGATACACTTCCAACTATGGTGATGACTACTTCTCATTCCATGCTGGAGGTGTGTTCTTCATTTGTATCAACTCTCAGTTCTACCATGGCGCCACAAACACTCCCGATCTCGTCCAGGCGCAGGTAAAAATCGATTTCATTCATTTGGAAAAACTACAAAATATAACTGAAAAGGTTCTGATGCTTTATTGTTACTCCATGACCAATTATGTGTTGCGATTATTTGTTCATTCCTTTTTCCTGTATTAAAAAATAAACGTAAATCTAAACTGCAGTAATTGAAAACGTAATAAAGGCTTAAAACATAGTCAAAGTTTGGTGTGTGTGTTAACGTCAGTGGCATTTTTATGGGAGGTCACAAAGAATTTAAAGAAAGTTGTTCAAAACCCTCAAATATATTCAATTTGCTGGGATTGAACATGTCTCTCTCCCATTAATACATTAAACTCTAGGCTAGCAACCCCCTAAAGTGTATTCAATTACTGTAAAATTTACTGGTTGGTGTACTGCCCCTTTAGGTTTATGCCACTATACGTATAGTGGCATAAACCTAAAGGGGCAGTACACCAAATATCAGTAAAATTGACAGTAATTGAATAAACTTAGGGGTTTATAACTTAATTTTGATGATTTTACAAAACTACTATGAATCCAGTTTTATAAAATCATCAAAATTAAGTTAAACTTATCATAATAACTTTTCTGTTATGGTGGTACTTTGTTCCTCCGATATGTATAAAATGAAATGTGACTTCATTGTCCAAATATTAAAATGGTTATTTAATCGCTACAAGGAAAAAAAATATACAAATGTTTTAAAATAATAAAGAAGAAGTCCAAAAGCTAAGCTGCAAAAATGAAAACTGTGAAAATTACTGAAGAAGTGTAGAAAATAGTTCTTAAATTTCTAGAAAAAAGAAGCCTAAATTTTAGCTGCTCTCATGATTTATCCGTGTGAACTTCAGCGCTTATAATTGGATGAAGAATTAAAAAAATAAATTCTTACATACTTAACTCAATCTTGTTACTTGTCATGGACCATAAGACTGATCGTTTTATACTGACTTGATTGGTATCTTTTATGTAAGACTATCCAAGTTTTTGCCTTTTTCAAATCCATGACCTCTAACGTGGTTCCACTCCAATGCCTCCTTTGCCATTTCTCCATTTTGAATTTCCTCTAGTAACTTTTTTTGTTATCCATCTCCTTAAAACAAATTACAATGAAACTGTGAAATATTTCTTCAATTGATGTCTCTTTACTTTGAAATGCATTTTTCAGGATGAATGGTTGGATCGCCAACTGGCAGTTGCCAAACAATCAGAGATTCCGAGTATAATGTTTCAACACGTCCCTTGGTTTGCCAGTGACCCTGACAAAACTGAGCGGAACTACTTTGAGATTGACCATGACATTCGGAAAAGGATGCTGGACAAAATACTAGCTGCAGGTATTGACAGTTATTCCTATGATAAGTTGTTTGATGCAAGATGTAACATAGAACAAGGGTTATCATCATTAGTCTTTTAATGAGATTGGCAAATGTTATTTACTGTTCACAGAGATTCACTTTGGATAAAGACTTAGAAACACCAACCATTCATTATAGTAACAAAACAACAATTATTAATTACACCATTTAGTTAAAAAAAAATTCTCTTTGGTTTTATCTTTTATTAAATCAGCATTGTAGGGCTTTGACTAAATCAGATTAGTGACAGAATAATGTTAATAAGCTTATCAAAATTTAGGCAGTGTAAAAATTGTGTTTTGCCTTATACAGATTTATTGATAAGCATTTGCAAAAGAATTGTCACCCACCATGTCTTTTAAGATGTTAAGCAGAAAGACATAATTGAGTTGATAGGCAATCTAACTGTGGTACAGTATTGGCACATTTGGCTTAGTAGTTTGCGTTACCCTGAATTTAATAAGATACACAGTTACAGTGAGAACTTACTGATTTGCTGCTGCGGGTCAACACCCTGCCTCCAGACTTCCTATCTGCTGCCTTTCATTCCTTATCTGATCTTGACTTGCAATCTCAGCTTTAGCATTCACACTTTTACCTTCCTACTTGGACATAAGCCATCACTATTTAACCTATGGATGAAAATCAGCGTTGTTAATCTTGCAGGTGTGAAGTACGTGTTCTGTGGCCACCTCCACTACAACGCAGGAGGCAAGTACAAACAGCTGGAGTGTGTTGTGACGTCTGCTACTGGCTATCAGCTGGGCAGTGACACTCACGGACTACGAGTGGTTAAGGTGTACAGAGATAAGGTGGAGCACAAGTACTACCCACTGGCAGACCTACCAGCCGAAGTCAGTCTGTAACAAACCAAGTGTCTGCTGGACAAACATTTATGGTTGATGATGATAGTGTTATGACTTTAGTATAGGATAGGTACCTTTTTTCGTCATTATCTATTATAAGATGACTAATTTCAATTGCTGACTTCAAAACCACATGTTCTTGCTTTGACACCAAGCTAAATTTTGAACCAAAATGCAATTTTTATTGGGATAACCGTTAATGAAGGCATTTAACAAAAGACTGAAGTTAAATAGTAACAGGACTAGGTTTGGACTCCCTTACAAAAAACTGTGGCACTGGAGTTTGACATGTTAACCTTATGATTTTTCAAATTTTAAAGGAACTGGCTGTTACCCACAGGCTTCACCCCGTTTGACTTCATGTATTAATAAAATTATTGGTTGGTTAAGTCAAGGCCCCACTATAAAAAGCAGGCCATGCTGCAGGATCCATGACGTCTCACTAGTGGATAGATTTCATTGATAAATTCATTGCCATCACCATCCCCATATGTTTTAGGTAAATAAACAAGCTGGCTGTTTGTAAGATTTTAATGGTAAGAGTTTAGTACAACTATCCACCACTGTGACGTAGTGTTGCGCTACCCGCGCTGCAGCATGGCCTGTTTTTTCTAGTGGGGCCTTGGTTAAGTTAAGTTAAAATAAACAAAACAGTAATACAAACAAATAATCACACCTGATTTTAATAAGATAATTAATTGAAAGAATAACAAACAAATAAATACAGCTGAGGTATTTTTAACATTAGGTATATGGAAATTTCTCTTTAGAAAAGGAATTACGACCTTAAAGGGCAATTTATAAAATAATGGATATAGTTTTGCCCAAGGTTTCTCGTAATGACGAACATTTTAAGTACCTATATGGTTTATGGGGGTGTGACTTTTAGTTTTCTAAAAAATTCATGAGTACTTTGGGATTTACATATGCATAAATGATTCTTAACAGCTGTTTCAATTAAACAAGTAGGTTCTATGATGTTCAATAGCATTATAAAGTTGCAAGGTTTACCAACAGGGTGCAGCAGTATTAACTTTTTCTTTTTGTTTAAATTTATGATAACAGCTAATTTGAATAAAGCAGCAACCAAAAGCTTGTGTTACACAATGAGAACTAAATACTAAATTGTTGTGGTATTGTGCGAATAGGGTAATTTTATTTTTAAGTGCATAATTCATCAACTTATTGACTTAATTTTTTCCCCCAAATTTGTATAAAAAAGTTGTTTCTGTTTTCCCCAAACATAATGTTTGGGAAACGTAGTAGTGTGTTAATAATTGATTTTTGTTTATTCCAATTTTTAATCAAACCAAACTATGCTTTAATTGAAGAAAATATTGGCTACAGATGGTCCATATAAATGGAATGTCTTCTTCACTTACGCAAAAGTCAATGATGATAGCCTCATTTTCAAATCTAACTAGTCAAAATTTAAAAAAATCACATATCGCAAAAACAACATCCAAACAAAAGTGATATAGGCCTAATCATTAAATTAAAATAAATATTTGGTTCAGACATTGAACTGAAACTCCAATCACTCTAGATTTGAAAATAGTTCCGTAACTCACCAAAACTAGTCATCTATTAATCAATAGTGGATTATGACGACAAAAGGTTCGTGATCTATATTATAGCTATTATGTTTTCAACCCTGAAGGCTGAAATAGTGTTTAAGATTATGGGGGTTAGCTAGCTTATCCCAGAAATTAGAGCTATAATTCCTGTATATAGGTTTTTGTTGGTACAACCAGTGCTTTCAAGCTTTTTTCCACCCAACTATTATAAAGTTGATTAGACCAACTATTTGTTAAAACCAAGTTGTTACATAACCAAACTTTAAATTTTTTTACAATTTAAATATAATTATTTTAAAATTTAATATGCATTAAAAGCTTCCTGCAAATGTTGACTAGTAACTGAGTTAACACGTTCGCGGCGGCACGTCAAATGGCGGGCGTATCTCCAGTGCGGTGCAGCCCGCAGCGTCAAACAAACCCGATTGCCGCGTGTGACTGGCTTTCCAATTTCGGTCTGACGAATAGCAAATAACGTGCGAGGATGTCCTGCTTTAAGACGAGAGTCGACGTAGTTTGCTAAACACTCACAGATAGCAGCACTGCTTGGAACATAGCCGGTCCCATTGGAATTGTATTGCCAAATGGAGGGGAAAAGGCGGGACAAAAAGTAGATTTTTGAGATTGCCAGAGGGGGATTTTCGGGAAAATTTACTACCAACCTACACCACAACAAAATACAGTATACTATTGAGCAGTGCTGTGCGAGGTTTCAAGTTTCTAGCTCTAATCCTGGCTTAAAAATAAATCATTTCGTACTGCATTGCAGCTTGGAAGCGGACGCACCCACCAGGATGGCATTAGGGTTCCGTGTGGGAGCGATCGCTCCCATGCCGCCACGAACGTGTTCTGGTTTTTAGTCTCCAAAGTACTTTTAAATTGAATCTAAATAACTTAGCTTGTAGGCAGGCCCACTTTTATAAACGGGCAGACTGGGCATATGCCCAGGGGCGCCGGTGGTTGGGGGGCGCCCTGAACCCCCGTCCGCACTAGGAAAAATAGGGTTTTATCAACCGGGATTTAAAAAATAAAATGGGCGATTTTAACTTCTAGTTAAGTGATTTTCCCTTATTGCAAAAGTAAATAAATACAACAAAATTGAAAATACTCGACCTTCAGGTATACCTCGTGTAGTCAGGGAAAAGCAGGCAGCAGTGTGAACCGGGCGCACACACTATACCATCAGAAACAGGGAGGCCTGCATGGTGGAAGGACAGGTGTGCTATTCCCATCATATGCTGACGTCACTCAGATTGCAAACACTATTTTACCATTTAGAAAAATTGTAAAACAATAACAATCAAATAAAAACAAATACTTATATGGCAATACATCAGCTGATTTTTTTTGTTTTTGGGTGACGTCATCAAATCACGGGAATACTGTAGCATGTAGGTCAGCTGTAGTCTACAGGCCTACGGTTGACGTGCCCCTCCTCTCCCTCACAGTCCCACCCCCATCCCCACAAGTCACAACTACCAACTACCGCGTGGCGTCGCCAGTCCTCTCTCAGTTGTCAGTAGGAGTAGGTTGTGTTCGTGTTGTGCCTGCTGCACAGTCGTCATATCAGTCACAACACAACCTAAACTGTGACAGTCACTATAGTCAGTGTTGACACTCACACTGCAGTTAGTGAATCAGTAATAAATAAATAGAGAAGTGTTGATACAATTAAGTAGGCCTATAAACAGTGAAAAATGCATAAAAAACCTAGTGCAGCCGATAGCCGCAAGCGGTTGGCTCAAAGAAAAAAATCTCAATAAGAAGTTTTAAAGAAAGTGAAATGTATTAACCAGTATTTCCATTGATACGGATTTGAAAAGTCACTCCCGAAACAAAACTGATAAAAAAACACGCTAATGTATAAATATATATATGCATAGGCCTATAGTAGAACCATGGAAAAACATACACTCTTTAGTGGAATCTCGTTCAGTACGTGTGTAACACAATGAACTGCACACTGTACTGTATTGAACAGTAATCAAATCACTGCGTAGTGCATTAAGCTATTGGCGCAGGGCAAGAGGCATTCGCATAGCAACACTACTGTCAAGTTCATTGCACTCGCCCCAATTCAATCGATCACCACTTACCATCTTTTTTGTATATTTACCGTCTTGTGAGTAACAGTATAAGCGTAAATATATATCTTTTAAGTGTTATAAGACGTTTCTCTTATTTACTTTCCGTAACCCCCAACCCACCTGCAGTTAATTTCGGCGAACTGATGAGTCAACCCCCCTTCCCTCTTCACCACCCTACACTGGTGTGGTAAAAAACCTTTATAGTTTTATATATATATATTATATATATATATAAAAGAGGGGCGCTACTTTTGGGTTAGCCCAGGGCGCCACTGACCCTTAACGCGGCCCTGCTTGTAGGGCTATCAGGTAGATTAAACTTGAGTAGCCTATACCATGAGATAAGCTAGCTGACCAGACCCAAAAGTGCCTTTTATTTTTTTAGTACCTATATCTAAATAAGCATGCAAGCCCTTCCCAAGTGGGTTTACCATATGAAAAACCAAAGAGTGCTTAAAATAGTGATATTTTAATATTTTTTTAAAGATTTTGAATTCCAAGTGCCTTGCATCAATACTATTTTCATTTTGTTAGGTTGAGTTAAGTATATTAATATACAGAAACCTTTAGAAAATCTGATCATTCTGGTCACATACGTCACCCTGAGAGTATTTCTGACTAATTTATAATGTAGGATTTAGTTTAACATCGTTTGTGAAATATTTGGTCAAGCATATTTTGGTAAAATCTGTCAAGTTGAGTTTGAATAAAGAAAATAATATATTGAGTAAAAACAACAATCTATTGTTTTTGTTTTAATCTTCTACAAAAATTGGCTAAACATAGAATAAGTTAAATAAGGAATAAGAAAATTTGTGACTAACCAAAAAATACAATTTTTCCTACAGTTACCTAACAATGTACATGTTCTCTCACTGATTTGAGAAAGCAAAGTGGCCAATTCGCTCATCAGTGAGACAATCTCACTCTAATTACTTTGTCTCACTCCAGATTTGCAACGTGAAGGCACGAAATAGGGAGCACGTAACATGCAGGCAACGTCTTATGCGCGCGACATACGTTGGCAGCACTGGCTGTAAATCAGCTGGTCAGCTGTTGTACTGTTGTATTTGTCACTTCACATTAAATGTTATATTAAAATTTCACTTCTGCGTAAAAATACTAAAAATAGGTTATGTTTCTTCACCAATTTATTTGTTTTATGGTAACTATAGGAAAAGTATAATGTGCAACTCGAGTTCAAAGTACAATAATTGCCTCACTCGAGAAACCATTCCTCACTCGCCTACGGCTCGTGAGTAAGGATTTCTCTCGAGTGAGTCAATTGCTCACTTTTCTCACTAGTTGCACAAATAACTATATAACCACCAGTATTGTTTCTGATTGCTTGATTGCCAGCTAGGAATGCTACGAGGCAAGGTTTTGGAACAATCTGCTGTGTTCAGCAGGTTTTGCTCAAATAGGAAAATTAAAATACTATCAATGTCAAAATTACTTATTAAAATTGAATTAAGTCTTTGTTTTTAGTATAAACTGGATATTCATATATTTTCGTTGGGATATGAATTTCTAAGCAGACTGTTACAAGGAACGCTTTACAGTAGCAAATTAAATAGATACATGGGATTTAATATTATGTTTTTGTTTGAATACAAACTACATGTGTATACGGTACTGTAATCATTTTAGTTATACAATTTTACAGTGTTGTATTTTTTTCCAAACCACCTTTTGTTAAAGACTTTTGGAATTGTGTATCTATAGTATCTAAAGGTCGTGGAGAACTGTATTAACAACTGAGTATGTTTTAAGAGGTATAGTTAAGTTAACATTAAGAAAGATTGAAATTTGTGAAACGTATAGGCCTAGATACTTTGTACCTATTGATATCAATATTTTGTGCTATCCATTCCAGTTGATTACCTTAATAAAATCATTTTTTCATGCATCAATGGCACTTGTGTGAATTATTTGTCCTGTTATCGTCACACTCCTCACCTTTTACCATCTCTGTGACCTCAACACTGTGACCTAAGCTTCAACTGGCCCAACAGTAGCATTGTAGCAATAGCTATTTATTCCCTTGAGGAATTCTATTCCTACCTGTGGTGTACGAATAGAACATACGAATAAAAGTTCCTGTGCCCTTTGCCAGTTGAACTGGCAAAGAACTTTGCCATCAAGGTCGAGTAACCTGCAAACCCCTATTACAGCAGAGCCTCGATAGTTTGACACTTTGTGGACTTAAGGGACGTCGAACTATCAAAATGTCGAACTATAGGGAGTAAATGGAGTTTAATATATAGGAAAGTAAGAACAATATAGAAATCACCCAAATTGATTAAATACTAAAAAGCTTAACAATTTCACTGTCCATTTGTAAGTCTCACGTCAACAATAAATGACAAATTAATGTTCAAGTCAGCATACATCACAATAGTAACCATTTAAATATCACTTGACAAAATAGCTCAACTCGTGTCGAACTACAAAGAGTGTCGAACTATCAAAAGTTTACTGTATCTTAATACGTTTTAATCAGGGAATCCCACAAATCTACATCTTTGATCAGCTTTACACTAATAAAGGATTAATTATGTGATGAAATTATTGTTATATATATTACCTAGAACTTAGAAACTTATACAACTGAAACAGTTCAATACCTGGACTTTCATAGAACCTATTATTATATATTTACACTTACCAAAAGAATTTGGAAACATTAATTTTCAACAAGCCAGCTTAGTATTTCCTAACACGTCCCTCCCTCAAACCCAATTGAATGGATAACAACTTAACAATAATTGTACTCCATAATTAATATATCTTGTATTATATTAGCATTAGCACCAAACAGAGATGTTGGGTATTCAAATCCTGAACACCCACTTCACTCCTAGAATTTCTAGAAAATTACACAGCTTACCTTCTGCTATGAACATGCGTAGTACAAGGCACTGTCCAATCAGGTCAGATGGTACGAGGCATAAACTTACATTAATGTTTTTCCATTTATCTCAATTTTCTCACTGTTAGCTTTTCTTGTTTTGATCTTGATCCTTGTAAAGGCAAGGTCTTTCTAGTTTTAGTTGACGCCATTAAACAGAATGTATACTGATTGATTTATCCCTTATAAAATACATACAATTTCAATTTGATTTCTATATAGGACTATTTGAATGAAATTTCAATACAACTGGAAATTTGACCAGGCAAAAGGCCTATTAATAAAATGAGGTTGATTGTTGGTTTTTAATTTATTTATTTTTTTTAAAGCTATAATTAGTTAACCTCAAAATCTTTATAGCACGAAAATGTTATTATATTGTACTTTTCTTCCATTCTTTTAAATAAAGACCAGTGATGTATGATTTTGAGTTCCAAATGCCAATTTGAATACAACTACTAATTTGCTTCAACAATCCTGTATGTCAGTTTTATCCTTTTACTTACTGAAGCTATCACCAGTAAAAATTTGGTCTTTTTGCTATAGGATATTTTCTTAGTCTAAGGTCCGGGAGAGAATAATAATTTGATGCAAAAAATACAAAAGTTTATAACCTATTCATTGTAAAAAAGGCACATGCGTATTTTGTTAATATTAAAATAAATGCTTAAAACTTCTAAACATAAAATCACTAACCATTCAACCTTAATATAATTTTTAACATATACAAACAAAATCAGGTACATCTTATCAGTTTTATTAACTGACAAAGGTATTACAGCTAACAAATAGGCAAATTTGAACTTGTTCACAATTTTGAAATATGTTTTCATCAATAAATATTAGAACCTGTGATGTTCCACAAACTACGAACAAAATTCAATAATTTCAACTTCAACAGATAGTCTGCAAATAACATTAAAACATTTAAAATAAGGAATAACATAAACTATATTACATATGTAGGTACTAAAAACTAACTGATTAATAAAATAAGTTTTGGCTCTTCTAATAATACAGAATCTTTCTTAAGAATAAAAAAAATACTTTACTAAGGAATACATTGAGGAGAAAGAAACCAATACAAAACTATTACTCTGAGAAAATTATTTCAGGTAGTAAAATGAGAGACTTTCAATCACATCACAATCATGGTATGGAGAAATTTAATTTTTAACAAAAAAAATGAATGCAAGATGAGTGATATTGCTTTGTGTAGCTTTACCGACTAAACTATCAGCTGTTTCTTAGGCAAGACCATTGAAATGCCAACGATCAAGAAGAGTTGGATCCAATTTGGAACTATCATTAAGTAATTGCTTTTTTCAGGATTGAACTCGTGGCCTTCAGATGGTTGGGCAAGCACTACAACCCTTTGATTAACACCAGTAGTCACCTTTTTTGCCAGTATGCACAAAAAAGTAGGCCAGTTTTTGCAGTAGCTGTTGGTTTTAATCTCTGAGTTGTACAACCTTTTAAAATGAGTTAAAATTACATAAAGCAATTGGTCGTGCACTGTATGCTTATACAATTTTAGTAACGACTAATAAACAATAAGTCAGCATGTCGACATGCCGAAATATTATTGTTTGTTATTAAATTATTAATTTTAATGGAGTGATTGGCGCATTCACTATAACTGGGATGTAGTTAGTCTTGTATGACAAAAAACTTAACTTTCAAGTGAACACTATTATAACCAACATAAAATACAATATGAAATAGTAAAATCGCATTGCTAACAATATAAACATATTCTTAGAATTAAATATACAAGGTACATGTTATATGGACGGACACTTTCATCTTACAATATGCACAGCCAAATATAATACAAAATAATACAACGTAAAGCTGGGCAAAGCACAACATTATGTTCATCTATAAATGTTATCTGTTTATTTATGGCAAACCTTACATTCAATAATACAATATTTTTATGATTTATCATGAATGCAAACAAGGTAAATTGATTGTAATTACTAATTAGATTGTTTTTCTTGGTTAAACCTGTTCTGAAACGAGCTAAATGAACTATATATACCTTAACTGGGTTTAACTAACCTTAAAATTGACTTAAACTGCTCTATAAAAATGATTAATCCATGTAGAAGTATGTTTAATACATCATGGAACATATTTGTTATGTAACTATTAACTAATAAGGCACTTGAATACTGTTTCCTTGACTCGTATTAATAATTCATTTTAGTAGGCAAGCGTAAGTATGTAACAAATTATTGGCTCCCAGCGAACTTTTAATATGAGTGTTTGACTCATGGACAAATGTATCACAATGATTTTGATATTTTATCACTGTAGTGTAGTTATCCACACTACATAAAGGTTGTCTGTCATATTACCCATTTAATTAAAAAAAATTCTGTTTCTAAATATCTTTTAGACCACAGAAATATAATTAAAGTGTTCAAAATTATTTAAAATTGAGTGCTTTGACCTAGCTTCTTGCCACAAAATTAACTTAACTTTAGACTCTAAAACACTTTCAAGCTTATTGAGCATCTTAAATTATCAAACTACACCAAAATGTACAACTTTGATTTTTCCAGTCTCCTCATCCTCACGAACTTCTGAAAAGAAATAAAAGAAGATTAACTTCTCAAATATCACAGTTGAGTCTTGATGAACCAAGGTGAAATTTTATTTTAACTAAAATTTACAAACATAGAAATTAAAAAAAAATTGTAATTGCTAATTAACGGCAGTACGTCTTTGACCGCTACTAGGAGGTCACGAATTGTGGATATTCATAGGCATGCACTGTGGATGCGATACTCCCTGGTGTGGATTAATGTCCACACTAGTGAGTACTACGACTACCCGCAGTGCTATCCTGATAATTAGACCAATTTTTTAATTAAAAGGCAAACAAATGTGGTAGAGATTCCACTGTGGTTCGACCTTAGTCACTAACAAGACTTCAATATCGCGCTACTCATCCGTCACTCCTTTACATAAAATACGCATCTAGTGGCGTCCCCATCTTAAATAATTGATTGATATTGATATTGAATACTTTTGGTGCTATTATAGAACAGCCTACTCCTTTCATAATAATTTGCTATAGTACTCAAAGGGCTAAATCAACTTGTAAGCGATTGGTTGAATGACAACAAACATTTCAACCTTGAAGCAATTGCAAGTTTAGTTTCACAAAACAACCAGAGCGACAATGAAAATACACAAAGTGATGTAGACTCGAAACCAAAATCAGTCACAGAGACATATTGAAGGCAATGCTCTACGTAAAACAAAAAGATGCACAACGCCAGCTGACACAATTATCGAACGTTGTCCGCGCTGTTTTTCAACCATATACTTTTTACGTCCTAATTAGGTTTTAGTATGTTTTGAGCCTATAAATTAATAGTACAGCTGTTTTTATACTTTGTTTGGGGTTTTCATCGATGTTTCTCCATGCCTTTCTGAGTATTTCAGTTTCCGAGGCAGTTTTAGTCCACATTACTATGGTTAAAGACTCTTACTGAATGAATGCAATGATTATACAAAGATAAACTTAAGACATAATAGCTTGTAAACATTACTGCTGATAAACCCCCATACAGTATGATACGATTTTAAGGCAAAGACGGGTAGATGAATGTTAAAACGTTAAAAGAATAATATGACAACATGGGTTATGGCTTAGGCTTTGGTTTTGGTAGTGTTGTTGTTATTGACTAAAATCAGCTGTTTTTGTCAGGACTATCAAACACAATGATCACGAACAGCTGGATCCAATCTCACACTATTAATAAAAACTTTATGTAATTGATAAGGCTGAGACAACTGACATCCGCATGTCATGCAATTCCTGATTTAACCCAGCGACCAATTTATCAAAATTATACTTGAGGGTTAGTCATTTGCGCAGAAGTACGGGATGAAAGATGCAATCAAATAATGTAAATGCATTGATGTCAGAGCGAAAGAAAACTGTTTGAATCACAAATTAATAATTCAGAAATGTATGTCAAATAATAAATACACCAATTCAAGTCCTTATGTGTAAACATGGTGGTTGGTATCTTACCCGGTGGAGCCATGAGCAGTGAGTGAGCGTGTTTGTTGGCAAAGTACAGAGTGACGGGGTCTGAGGTGAGACGGGGGAGAGGCAGAGAGGGGGAGGGAAGCCCCACAGTGTTGACAGCTGACAAACTCTGCTCTGAGTCCTCACACTCCGACACCTCCTGCTGACAATCATGTTTTGTATATAAAACTAAACTAATAACACATTAAATACTAAATACAGATAAAATAGCTACACTACACTATTGACCTGTTGTTTCAAAGGGCAGGTGGAGGAAGGAAATTGCTTTCCCTCAAACTGCTTTAATTTGGTGAACGGAATATGAAAAAATGTTCTGATTTGTAAATTTTGGTTACATATTTCAAGTGATAGGAACTACATAGTTCACACTGGAGCATTTGTAAAATGTAGAGTAAAATTCTACACTCAGGTACTTGATGCCGAACTTTTTAATTTTTCTCAGGAGTTGTCTGAAGGCAATTAAGGGTAGTTTGCAGTACTCACAGGCACAGTAATGTGAGTAACCGTGTCGGAGAATTTAACCTTCTGTCGAGGCGGAGGAGGGGTAGGCACCACGGGGAGGGGAGGCGGAGTTGTTGGTCTCTCTCCCTCGGAGCTGCTGCCTGAACAACTGCATGAACATGACGAGTGTGAACACGAACAGTCTGAGGAACCTGAGGAAACCACAGAAGAAAATCTGTTAAAAATTATTTATAAACTATAACAGTCAGCAAAGAAACACGATAACATTTGTCGACCTTAATAACTGTGAGATATTAAACTATAAAACTAATAGAATGGAAAATATCACATGGTTTTTTTTTTATTTGTCTGTTGACTGACAAAAATAGTTCTGAATAATAAAATAGACTAAATACACTTATAGTTTCAGGTTGTGTGTGTGTGTGTTTATCATAAAGTGTCAAAGTATGTTCCCCAAAAGTAAAATAGGTACAGTATCCAATTAAATTGTCAACACTTGCTAAATTTTGAATTCGTATTTTTGTCTACCCTAGTGTGTTAACGGAGTTATAAAGTTGCTTCAAAAAAACATTAGTAGCTGTTTGTTCCTGATAGATTTCAAGTAAACCAAAATTACCTAGGAATCTCATTTATATAGGTAAAAAAATTAAAAATCTTTTTTGTGAATTAGTTATCTCAACAAATGAAGCAGTATGAAAAAAATATAGTTCACCACATGGCCAAAAGTGTCTTTTTAGTTTTTAACCTTAACTCACTTTCCTAGTTTGGCTTTGTCTGGGTTGTTCACTTGAGCAAGTGTAAAAAATAGTCACTTTAGAGCCCTGAGATAAAATCTACTGCCATGCCTTTGTAGAATAATTGTAAATGTCTATTTTAGTAGTGATGTACTCTAAGATATTTGTAAAACCGAATCTCAAATATCAAACCCATCAAAATTAGAAAAGTTTCAGTTTTTAAATTTGATAGGAGTTTTGAGATTCCAAACTCAAAACCAAAACTACCAATACTTTTTGAACAGAAAACACGCCACAAATCTCCTGCTAAGGTGGCAAGCCTTCTGTCATCGCTCTTCTATCTTCAATTGTGACCTTGTCGAAACAATCATGATTCATATACTTTCCGCTCTCAAAATATTTATTGTGCAAAATCCATAATGTCCTTACAAGAAAACAAACTTCTTTGGTATTTTATTCCTCACAAATCATACTGATAAATTGTCATTTTTAGATTCTTAATACAATTTTCAAGCACTTTTGAAATGTTTTGTTGAGATTCCGTAAGGCCCAATTCACACCGAACGGACGTCGGGCGGAGACGTGGCACGGACGTGGCGAGGACATATGTCCGTTCCTCGCCTCCCCATGTAAACAAATTGGTCAATGCACACACAAGTGACGTGGCGCGGGCGGCCGCCCTCCCGCCACTGCCACGTCGCTTCGGCGTCCCTCGTGGCGTATCGGAAGTGGCATGTCCGTAGCGCGCCCGTTGTTCGGACTGCAAATATTGTACTATACTTACCAATCTTCTTGTGTATAGTGTGCTTGTACTTACCAACCTTCTTGTGTATAGTTGTTTTTGTGTGTAGATTGTGAGTTGTTTCTTCACTATGCGAGACGACATTGAATTTAATATCAAATTTTGTGAGGAAGTAGAACAATTCCCTTGTTTGTACTAATTAAGTTCACAGAAATTAACTAACACCATTGACATTAATACAAATAAGCAAAAACCAAAGCGTCTAGTCTACATACAGGTTGTCTCGCCACTGTACCGTCCCTTCACCGTCCCTTCGGTGTGCATTGAACACGCCACGTCACTACCACGTCTGTGCTTCGTCCGTGCCACGTCTCCGCCCGACGTCCGTTCGGTGTGAATTGGGCCTAAGAAAATTATGTAGTTTTCAGGTGTTTAATTTATAATCAGAGGAAACTGAACCAATTTCTTTCAGTTGTTTTTGATTGCATAATAAATATCCTATAAATATCTATTAATAATACCTTAACCAGGCAAGTAAAAAAGAAAAGATTTGAAATTAAATCTTTAGATTCAAGATTAGATTTTTTCATGTTTCAGTTTCAGTATTGAGATTCCTAGTTTCAACCATCACTAATTTCAATTTTCAAGTGAGAATCTAAAAACGGAGACGTACCTGATTCAGAGTCGCACTCAGAAACTTGGTAGGCCTTCTCTAAAGCTGCCGAGGCCATCGCAGTGTCGCCAACATTGCGGGCATAGTGGTGCAAATCCATGAACAGGTCGTACTCATTAAGATCTATCGCTAGTCTGAACGCTTTGTCAAACACCCTGAACCTGGTAACATTTTATACAAGATGTAAATATCCATTGGTTAATTGACAAAACTAAACATAGGTTTTGTTTATCTGTTGATAAAATTTCAATTAGTATCTTTTTCTTAAACCTTTTTTGACCCTTTGAGATCTAGAAATTATTCTGGGATTTAATATTTGTGCGATGTAGGATAATGAAACTACCTTTGGAATCACTGTGGCAGTATACAAATAATAGCTTATTAAAATATGAGTAGACAAGGTAGCAGGTCTCATGACCCACCTTTGAGTAAAATTTCATTCAAGGAGGTTCAGTTGTTTTAGCTTTTACCCAGAACCACTTTTACAACAGAAACAGAAAGATACTAGAAACCACACTTGTTTTAATATTATAGATAACTTCATTGTAAGATTGTAAATACATGTTTTGAATTTCAACAACATTTTAACATAAAAGAGTGTGACCCATCAAAGTTTTAAGAGTCTAGCCCGGCAAGGTGATAACTTTGATTTCCATCATCAAGTTACACATTGCTTTGTTCACATATTGTCCCATGCTAGTTGTCTGGTAAGTGTGGCGATGTTAATACATTAGAGGAGTTTTTACCTGAGAAGTTGGTGAAAGAACCTCCTGGTCAGGTCTCTGACTGGATCACCAAACTCCACCTCCGTGGCATGACTAAGAGGTTGTGATGGCACATGGAAACTACCCAGGGCAGTCTCTAGTTGTACTGAAACATCAATAAAGAGCTGAAGAAAGTCGAGACATTAAATCTACTCTTAAACAATTCTACTAAAGAAGGCACTGCAACGAAATATATGGCTGAAAATATCTAAAACGGACGAAGCTCAATATAGTGTACCTATTGAGTTAATTTAATCTCTAACAGAATAGCATGAAGCTATTGCTTGTTTAAGGTTTCAACTTAACATATATGTGGTCTATTATAGTCACAAAGAAGCGATTACAGGAGTATTTAAAGATGGGACTGTAGCCTGTAAGATGCCCAGTTATGTTACATTCTCATTAGTTAATATTCCCTAAATTCATAGTGGTCTGGGGGGGGGGGGGGGGGTTTGTCCTAAGACACTAGGCACAAGCCCGGGATTGTTTTCCCATTACTTCAGGCTAGACCTAGGGGTTGGGGCATTATCACTTAGATAAAATCTATTGGTGATTTGGCGGGATTTGAATCCGGGACCTCAGGGACCGAAGTCCCGCACTCTACCACGACTCCAGCTCATTCCCACAGTGGTCCAAGGGTTAATAATAGTAACTATATAGGTACGATTACATAACTCATTATGAAGAAGAAAGGCTTAACTGACCTTCTTTCTCCGGAGTGAGTGGCTGACGTAGCACATGGTTGGAGATGAGATGCAGACATGTGAGACAATGGAGTCCTTGGTTATCCCAGCTGAGACTCAACAGTAGGTTGACAGCCCTCTCTACACTGCCTACAGACAGGTATTGGGACACCAGGGTGGCAGGGGTGAGGCCGGAGCCTTGCGGGGGTGAGCCTCCGCCTATTAGTCTCAGCACTCCAACAGGACCCCTGAAACATATCACTGTGTCAGCCCATCTACACAATACAATTGAGACGACTATAACCTTGTTCACCTTGTTCAAAGGGGGACTTGACTTAACATTCATTGTATTTAATTTATTTTACAATTTTAGCTGACACTACAAAATGTACTTCATCATAGTATCCATCTTAATGTGGTAGCTGGTAAAATCTGTGTGAAATAGACTTTAATACTTACTTTTCAAACAACAGCATGAGGAACGCTTCGGTCTGCGCCCATCCAGACGTAGCTACTGATTCAGCCTTTCTGCTCCATCCAATGTGTAAAAGTGTTGGTTGTTGCCTATGACAATGATACATTTGTAAATTAAATCGCTATGTTTGGTTTGTAATTTTTTCTACTCAATGTATTCTATATTTTACAGTAGACTCCATTTTATCCAAACACCTTTTAGCCGGACTTCACTTGGCAGAAGTGATTATTTCTTTTATCGGGCAATTTTTATCATCCGTTTAACCAAATTGGATCAACAGGAAGTAGGAGATACATAAGCGACTTTTCTCGTGGGAGCACTTACTTGAAATAAGCTCCGAGATCAATGATGGTAGATGGAGTCACATCTTCGCTCATGAGCTGCATCTTGACGCAGGCTAGAGATGCGTCGAAACACTGCAACTGACTACGCTCATTGGCTACCATCACTAGACAGTTGTCTGGGTGCCAACACACCAGCGTAGGGATCTGAAGAGGAAATATTTAACAAGGAGTTTGAATTATGATAAATATTTCATAATAACATCAACAATGGTAGCCTAATTTCTTTATTAAAAGATATTTTAGTACTTCATTAGAATTTAGTTAAAATTTTTCACAATGTTCCTGCATCTGGAATCTGATCCTACCCGGTGAGAAACTAAAGCATAGAAAATTAATAAACAGCCTGGCCAAAGCTGGAGTTATCTGTGTTGATTTTCTTTTGTGACTTAAAAGTTTTAACTGAGGACGATATCATATTTCTGATTCTGAAACACATTAAAAATTGTTTTAAACTGATCCTGATGTTTAGGATGCCTTGATCCCTAAAATAACGCAAAAGGAGTTGTTATAGATTGTAAAATATGGTGTACACTTTAACAAAAATAATTATTTTAACTCTATTCACCTTCCAAGCATTAATAAATGTGTGGTACAAATTAAGAAATTAACAAAGCTATTTATGAACACAATTTTACTCACAAAGGCAGCTTTTACAATGTGTGTAGCGCCTCTGCCCTCATCGTACAGCACTAGTGAGCCGTCTATACAGCCGAGAAGCAACTTGGCGTCGTCATGACTGAACGCAAGACAGCACACATGCGTCTGCAGTGGAATACACGTGACTGCCGTGCGTTGTAGACGAGACTTGGACACTTCATACACACAGTTCTCTACCGTAACCTCGCCCTGTAACAGCAAACCTGCGTCGTAAACACAAACATATGGGTAGAGTACATTGGTTGCCTTAAGTAGTCTCAACAAATCGTTGGTGGAAGTTTGCCTGGCGTTTGATTTTCCATAGAGTTCTTCTACATTTATGCAATATTTTATTAATGAAATGGTGCAAAAAAGTTAGAGAACAATGGAGGAAGTAAATGAAGAGGCGGCTATGGCGAGTTAAAAGTGCAATCAAGCTAAAAGTTTAACTCAACAAACAAACAACAACAGTAACAAACAAACAAAAGTATCATCTTCCTGATGATTAGTCTGAGAATTTTATTCAATGGTCGTTCTTCCATGCATAGGTTGCTATTTTGTTGAGTTTAACCCTATTCATCTTTAAGACTTGTGTTAGTAAAGATTATAAGATAGGAGTGACAGATTCCTCACCAAGATGTAAAAAGAAAAAAAAATTGACTGGTAGTAATAATTAAATTACTTTTGAATCCAAATCCACCCAACATATTTCTCAAAGCCATGTGTTTATGAAAAAGAAAGGGAACCAGTCAAAAAAGCACTGTGCATTCTATGAACTCTTTCACGCTTAAGTATGATTTAGATTTTACCTTTCTTGACACCTTCTGTTCAACTGAGTGGATTAGATTGTTCTGCACTTGACTGAACATAACGCAAAGAGGATCGTGTTCCGTCCGGTAAAAGCACAGTAGCTCTGCTCGCAACCTGCAAAATTACACATGAGATAATAAATTAAAAGAGCTAATGAAATAGACAATCCTCAGGCATATACTTAGATGTTGGTTGTACTTACAAACCACGGACTAGAATGATCACTTGAGTAATGAAATGTAATGATATGACTAAATAAGCCTAACACTACCGTAGATCTTTTTGCAGTGTCCCAGGCAATTAAATGATAAACTAGTGTACATGTTGCTCGAAATCGAGCAATTGCAAAGAAGTACAGGAGTTATTTATAAACAAATAACTTGTTTAAAAACTAATTAGAGTCAACTATAAGATTATTAACTAAAGGAAATACTCACTATTTACATGACAGTCCTATTCCAGTTTAAAGGGTTAATTTTTAACAATCAATCTGCCCATGTACGGGAAAAGATAAGCTTACATTAAGTCAACGTAAAAAGGCTTTCAGCTTTTATAAAGTACCGTACCTAAGTTGTTTAGCCAATATGTAGACAATAAGGTGTAGGCTACTTTAAACTCTACAGGATAGAGTTAGGCAAAAACTGGCAGAACTCTGAAATGGTGTTATTTATCATAGGCTTACTCATATGCCAAATCCTTAAAATAAAAATGCAATTACTAATAACCGATATCATTCAACACAAACCATCATCCAAAACTAAACACATTTTTAATACAACATAGATAATTTACACATTGACTGTTTTACATATGTTCTTCTTCTCACTATTAATTTTTGCTTCGCAACGGGAAAAATCTGTTTCATAATCATTGAAATAGATTTATAATAAATAATCTATCATAAAGTTTAAGATTAAATAAACCTACCACATAGTTGTTTTACATGGTCAAGGGAAAATGCATTTTTTGGATCAGCTGTCGGAATTTGTGAAATAGAAATTTGACAGTTCTGGTTGTTTACAATAAAATGTCAAAGCAAATGTAAACATTGTGATTTTTCTCATGCTTCCATGGAAACGAATTATTCAATATTTAATTTCTGACAACAGCTGGAGTTTCAAAACAATGTTTGTTTCCCATGTTAATCTTATGGAGGAATACGAAACTTTAAAGGGCCCTAGGGCCTCACTCTCTAATTATTTACCTAAAAAGAAAGTTTCCTGCACAACTTCACGTTACGCTCTTTCCAATGACACCAAAAACGTGTCAATCAGTTCATTAGTTTCGGAGGAGTAATTGTCACAAAAATCGTGCTTGCGTATTAAATAAGTATATAGATATAGATATAAAAATATAAAAAAGGTTTATTTTCTTTAATCCATGATAAAACAGTTAAAAAAGAGTTAATATAAGAGTTATCTAGAAAATTTAAAAGTTATCTAATGTCAATTTATCAACAAGTTATTATTTTGGATAAAGACCTTGATTGAGACTTTTAAAAAACAGCCTAATATGTTATTACCATATGACTAAAAATAATTTAAGAACAACTGGGACAGGTAAACAAATCGCCGAAGGAATATAGAATGCTGTAAATTTTCTTTTTGCTTTTGTTCAGTTCAGAAACAATCCACCAACCATCAACATTTCTCGTTTTATAAATATAAGTCCTTCCATCTAAAATTTTGATTTATAATTTAACTGTACACATTTTACAATTCATACAATTCTTACCCATTTACACTGTAAACATGCACGTTTGCTCTGTCCTGGTCTTTGACTTGAGGACTCCAAGGGTAAACTTCATCTCGAGTGCATCTCCACCAAATGAGAACCTGGAAATTGGAAAATCTGAGTTTAAGTGACTTTGATAGAAAAAATTATTCAAATACATGCTTACTCTTATTTACTTCTACATTTATAACGAAGAAGGTGTTTGGCCTTACCAACAGTCTCCACTTCCTAAATCCTGTAATTCTTCATCGTCTCTCATTATTTTCCTAATTTCTTTAGAATATAAAACTCCTGGCACAAAAAGGTGTTTATAACGACAAAGATGACTGAAAGATAAATGCTATATAGATGAGATGATTGTAACTGATGAATATCTGCTGGTTCTTTTATCAAATTTGGGTGTTGCTGGCCTAGTAGACCTAGTAGACTTCGGTGCAGTAGGGAAAGGTTCGATTCCCAGCATATCCACAAAACTTTAATGGGTTTGTACCGCTTAGCGGTAGGCCTAATATTCAACTATAAATTACTTCAATTTAAAATGCCACTGGCATAAAACAAAAGGCCGTTTAAATTATTAAAATTGCCTGTTCTAAAAGATCAAGAAGCTAACTGTCTTCTCTCAGGATCAAACCGGCATCTTTCTCATTAGTGGGTGAGCAGAAAAATGATTAAGTAACTCAGCTGGATTCATTGGCTACATAATCTTTCACCTCTTTTTTGGGCATCAAAGGTTTTTTTAACATCTTAATGCTTAAACGGCCATATGTAGTGCTTGGAAGCAACCTCTTAGTTCTCTTTAGTCAGTCAAAAGATGTTTTGCCATTTTTTTCAAAATTTAACTACTTTAAGTTTTTTTTCAAGAGTATGTTTTAATCCAAATGGAAGAACATGTTAAAGTCCTGTTTTGTATATTCAAGTTAAATGTATAATCAGAAAAATGTTTAAATAATTCTTTTTATTATTTCTACAATAAACTAAAACTAAATTTATAACCCTAAAATAGAAACAATACAGCAAGATTAAATTAATACGGAAAAACTTTAAAGCTCACCATATCTCCGGTCTTGTTAACAGACAGTTTTCGCTCCAGTCTACGACCCGCTGGCCCCGCCAACTCCAAGGATCCCACTTTGGGGTCCAGAGCCCCCCACTTACGCAGGGCCCCATGCTTCACTGCAGGCTTCCCCAAGCTTACGATTGTCACTTGGTTGTCGTTGTAGGAACAAAACACGTTAGTGTTTGTCAAACTCACTGAAAACAGTTTGTGTGCAAGTTCAATTTGTACTAGAAAAACACTAAAAACAGTAACTTAATCCTTGGATTTTTAAGTAGATTAGACATAATCATAAACATATCCACACACACTGCTTTAAAGTTTGTTCAGTATGTTTTAACACCATTATAGCCCCTAAATTGTAGCATTCTAGTCCTAGAGTTATGTAGGCCAACTACTTAATCCAAACAGTACAGTACTTTATGTTATTATTCACTTATTTTGCCCCTATTGCAATAAATGAAGGGGGGAAATAGGCCATTTATTTGTCTAGATAGGAGTCGTCTTTTACATTGTAAAGACAACAAAATACAGGTAGGCATGACTCAATTTTAATCATTTCACAATGTTTATTATTTTATGACAACAAATTTATATGTAGGTAGTTATTGGGAATTGAGAGGAAATAACACTTGATCTGTATAGCTTACCGGTAGCTGTAGTGAGGAGTTAAAAAATATGAATATGTAAGTGATTGCTCCATTCAAACAGTCCCGGATTAGATTAAATTTCTAAGACACCGAAATGCATGTGTCTGTATTTTATGAGAAAATTATTGAAGTAAAAAATTTAAATATATGAAAAGGAGGATCGACCAGTTTACTTGAATCGGTGAGGTTAAATTCAAACGACTTTCCACCTTAGTTTTGGCAATAGGAGTTATAGGACATATTCTTCTTTTTATATTGACTCAATACAAAAAAATGAGCAGGTTACTTAAGAATTCCAAAATAATCTTTTCTTTAGTGGCTGGCTGGAAAAGCCCCGTACGATACTCACCATCAGAGACGTAATCGCTGAGAAGTTTTCCAACCAGAAACTTGTCAAAAACAATCTCTAGTAGATCTCCAGTCGATGGACTGACAGTCAAGTTAGCTAGGAGCCCAGAGTTAAACATGAGCTGTAGGGTACAACTGTCTCTCCATTGGTGATAGACTACTCTCTGGCTCTCCAGGTATTCCTATAATATTGAACTCAATTATAATTTAATTCAATTTTACAAATGACACAATTAAGTGCCTAAGCTGAGTGTGAAGGCAGGGTGAGTTTAAAATGGAGTGAGGTGATCGGTTCAGCATTGTTAGGCCTACTAATTTAACTGATAAGGCTTTCTGTTTCTTAGCGAGGATTGTTAAATATGAGCGTAATAATCAAGGACAGCTGGGTCCAATTTCAAACAGCCAAAAAACTAATTGTCTCCGAATCAGTGACTGTTTGATTTCTAGGTGAACACCATGCTCAATTTGCGGGAGAACGTGGTGGAACGGAGTTCTGGTACCTCTTTTTTTGGGTACATAAAAATATTGGCATTTAAATAGGTAGGCCTACAAATCATAATAAATAGGCTACAGTTGCGGCACCTAATTTTTTTACATATCAAGCACTGGTGAACACTATCCTCACTTAGCTACCCAGCTTAGTCTAGTTACCTTAGATAGGTAGGCCTAAGTTGTAACATCAAATCTAGATTGAATAAAACTAATAGATTTTTTATAAAGGAAATATTAAGTAATGTCCCTAAAACTAAATTATTAGTTTTAAAAATCTTTCTGTTGATTTTTTTCATATAGAGAAGTGTGGACTAACATTTACGTTGTTTAACGAAAATGTTTTACTTGAACAATTTCAATATTATATAATGTAAGATGGACGAGTTGGATTATAAACTCCATGATAACCCAACTTAGGGTACAGTGGCCTATTGCAAGTAAAAGAAAAAAATTGTTGTAAAAAGTAATTCAAAAGCCTACAGCCACAAAAACTTATAAACCTTCATCATGTTTAGTTGCTAGGAACTTAATTTGGAGCTACAATTAAAATTGTACAGTAAAAGCTTGTTAATTTGGCATCTACCCTGGCATGGTCCAGCACTTTAAATAATCCGGTATCGGTCTAAAAGAAAAAAATGTTTAACTTATGTCGATAGCGATCGGGAGTGTCAGTAGCAATCAGAAGAGTCTATTTACGAACGAGTGTTTACTGTTGCCAAGATTTCCACCAGCATTGACTTGGAATTAGAGTAGGGCCTAACTTAGTCCTAAAGAAGACAAACTCTGTAACCACTCAGCTACCTAGATGTTCTGTTGCTTAAATATTTTTTTGTTTGATTTGATAAAAAAATGTGAAGTAGAAAAATTCTTAATTAGGTACGAAACATTAGTATAGCTTACTTCAAATTCTTTTAGAGTGTCCTTTAATTTTAGAGGTCTTTTATTTTGAGGAGTCCATATCATCCCTCTTTTCTCAACGTAAGTCTTTTTTCCAAGTGTAAATGGTGATTCTGTTGAGGTTTTCTTATCAAAATACCTGAAAACAAAAAATAGATTTAATACACATTCTGGCATTATGGCACTTAATTTGGATAAAGATTATTATTAGGCCTAACTTAAGTCCCACTAATCCTAAATAATTGGGACGAGACTCTGTTTGGATTAACTTATCAAATTGATTGGATCTAGCTGGAAATACAGTTAAATTGCATAACAAATTTTAAAATGGCATTTTATAAGTTGGCGTAATGGCTTTATTTTTTCTCTATCGATCACAATAACGGTGATCGTATCCTGCGATCACAGTAAAATTACAATTAATTTCCCATGTGGCCGAGACATTACTGTGTATCGTCTTCCCCAATCAACTGGATGTGTATTGCATGGATTGTATTAGTTTAATTAGCTGTTGCAGTCATCTATGTCTAGCCCTTTAATAGCTCCCTCAATGTATAATAACTCCTTTTGAGCTGCCAATTATACATCGACGGTTGCAGTACAGAGAGCAGACTAAAATCTGAAAAAAAAACATTGATTACCTAACATCGATGTTTACTTACTTACTTACTTACTTACTTACTCCCTCGACGTCGTTGACCAGCTCTTGCTGGATAGACTGAGTCAAATAAAAATAGAATAATATATATATACATATTTACAAGTTTGGCGGCAGGTTAGACGCAAATTTTATAAAACTCATCTAGGGAGTACAAGGGTCTTGCCAGTAGCCACTCCCTCAGTTCGTTTTTGAAAACTGAGGCCTCAAGGTTTTTAAAGTACAGTGGCAGTCGGTTGTACATCCTAATTGCCAACATAGGAAAGCTGTCCTTTTTTTTGTTTAGTCTGCAGAATGTTATGTTTCAGCCCTGAAAACATTGATGGTTTCCTGACGATGTTATCAGTACCTGATCAATGTTAGCCTACCGTCCATGATGAACATCGATGCGGGAGGTTGACTAATCGATGCTCAACTCTACCATTAAACCACTGTTATGCACTCATCTTTTTCCTACCTAAGCCTAGGCCTTACTTAATTTTTGTTGAGGCAAAGAAATAAAATCAATTTTCTCACAATCTAACTTAGCCTAATAATACTCCTAAACTATTTTTGAATTGTAGGTACAATTGTAAGCACGATTCAGAAATAGCCAATGTGAAACAATTCTAGGGCCTATGTCCTAAGCCTAAGTAGGCCTGTGCCTAAGCCCTAGGCTTTTTTACATAAAGTTTACTGTAGGTTAGGGGCTAAAACTTGCTATTAGGCGAACTGAGCACTAAACAATTTATTGATTTGTTTTACTAAACCTGGGTAAGCAAGGTGTTGTATTTTACCTACATATCTTGGTATGTTTAACACGTTCGCTGCTGACCGCTAGATGCCGGGACGGCGCCAGGAGCTGAACTAACGCTCGCCGCTGTGTAAACATTGCTGCCAATACACTGAATTACAGTAAAAACAACAGTAGTTGTACTGGATGGCAATGTTCTTTAATGAAACTGGCTTTGGACATAGTACTAAGTGATTCTGATAGATAACAGCACTACCCAGGTTGCAGTCGGCAAAGTTGTGTCGCTATCTAGCAGGAAAGAGGTGGGACAAAGCCCTTTTCTAAACGACTCTGGTGGTGATTTTGGGAAACTACCTATATTTTTTATCGTCAGAAAAGTACGTCCCCACAAGCTGCAAAGAAATATAGGACTCTCGTGACGAGCTGGCTGATCCATGGTAACGTTAAACATCAATGAACGGCGACGTTCCGGTAACTTTCCTAGCTCCTGACGCCGTGGCCCGTTTGATGTTCCGGAACGTCCGTAGCAGCGAAGAACGTGTTAAGGGAAGAAAATATGAATAGGTCTAGGCCTATCACTAGATTGAAGGGGACATCCAAAACTTAATATGACTAGCCCTAGCCAATAAAATATTGTGTGTTTAGCATACCTGAAGGCTCCAAAATCAGTATCTCTGATACCAATAACATCATTGAAGCTCCAGAAATGTACTTCGCTCAATAGTGTGAACATAGTAACCAGTTTTACCCTTGCCTAACCTAAAATATTGGCTTATACACTATGTCAACCATTTTTTGAGTTATTCACAAAATGTCAATAATTAATATTTGATCTGATAAAATACGAAGTTTATTACACGTAACACCAACATTTAAAGATAATAAAGCAAAAACATAGCATAACTATGACTGAGAAATACAAACACTTCTTAAAATTAATCTAAGTCCTATCCTAAATAAAGAAAACAAAAACAATAAACACAAACAACACAATGTTCAGTTCAGCTGTTGTTAGGTTTGGTTACGTATGCAGTAACCTAACCTGTGAACTTAAATCCTGAAACATTTGACTGGCGTTAGTTTGCCACCATGAAGCTGCGCTATGTGGTTACTATAACATAGAAATTCCGCAATGTGACGCAACTTGGTTCGTGTATGATGACAAATAATTGGTAGGAACCATCTTTTTGTAAAGCATCAAGGTTGTATAATTTCATAATGGTGGTCATTTTAATTTTTCAAAGTGTAATAAATTTCTCAAAAGCCATAGGATTTATAAAAAAAGTTGTACAGTTGGATTTTTTTAGCTAGAAGCAGTTAAGGTGTGGTGGACTATCTGTGAAGATGAACTTATTTGGTTGTAGTTGTAGTGTAATCGTCTGTTTATACTTGTCTCCTTGTCTATCTGTTGTCAAACGCTGATCTTGTGGAATACATTATCTATATATTAATTTGAAACTGTTTTTCTTTGTGACAGCTAATTTGAGAGAACGGCTGGGCGTAGAAACTCGCTCGGGGTCTCTAAAGAAAGATCTTGGTCTGTAGATGAGCCATCAAAAGAGAAACGTGGTGAATTCCCTTGGGGCTCTGCCCCAGTGACCTTTAAATTCACATCCCATGTTATTCTTATGGAGGAAAAACGGGTTTTTCTCACAGCTAATTTCAGAGAATGGCTTGGCATAGAAACTTGGTAGGGGTCTCTAAAGAAAGGTCATGGTCTGTAGATGAGCTATCAAAAGATAAACGAGGTAAATTCTCTTGGGGGTCTGCCCTAGAGGCCTTTAAAGCCCCCTCAGCAGATTTGTTTATAATATGACCATAATATGTATAATTTTACACTACTTTTAATGAACTAGCTGTTCATTTTAAAATTGTATTTCAAAGGTCAAGTGTTTTATGAGCATTTACTGAAACTGTCAAAATTAAACGTTTACATTAATATTTATGTTTTTAACATTTATTCTTCACTGCATCGCAAGCTTTTTATAGTTAGAACAAAATGATGAATTTATAATATGTTTTAAATTGTTTGTTCAAAAATCTATGCTTAAAGCATTAAGCACTTTAAAAATTGATGTTATAAAATCAGTTGGATTTATCAATTTCAAAGGAACAGATTTAACTATTCCTTATCGGGTTAGCTTATATTTATTGTAGGGATTTGCACTTGCTTTTTTGGTCTACTTTCAATAATCATTTGTAGATGAGCACGTTGAGGATGTGCATGATCTGTGTTCCAAGTTTTGGAATAGATTATGCATGGAGTAGGTTTAATCTATGGTCTGGTGCATCAGGTGAATTAATGGCAGTTCGTGTATTAAAAAAGGGGGGAAGGGTTTATACTTTGATGTACATATCTAGCTAGGTCGAACAATGCATATAAACCTCACTACATGAAATATTCGGAAATACAACAGTGCCTTTGCATCTCATCTCATTTTCATAATTTGTTGCCAACCAAGCCGGACTAGGTTATGGATGTGTTTCAGCAAATGTTTAAGATTTGTGGTCAAATTCACTAAAATTATGGTCCATCCCATCCTTAAAATGCACAATTTTATGTGATTGATACGGCCAAGGCAAAACTACGCCAGAAGTTAATCAATTAGCAAATAAGTACAGGATGATTAAATACTTTGGTCGATGTGGTAGGAGAAGGAATTAAAATTGCTTGGATCGAAGTAAGAATGTTCATGCCTTCTGTAGAATCAGATATTTTTATCAAATACAAAAAAACTGATTTAATATGCTAAAAGAAATTCTGCATTTTATGACCAAAGATGGTGATTCACTTATGCAATCCAAAAACTGTCTGAATGATTTTCCTAAAGCAGATGTAACCAGTAATTAGTAATATAGACTCTTCCCGTAAGATGACAGGCCAATTATATGAAATCCTTTTCTCATAGTATAGTACATGTGGCTTTAACATGAACAAAACTTATGAACAAGAAACAATTATAAGACTCCTAAAAAACCTTTTGAGCAACCTAAAGCCAACCACGTTTTTGAAGGTAGTTCATCTCATATTCATTATTAATGCTTATCCTTCCTTAATTTAACTAAGATTTTCACTCTATCATCGCAGTTAGCTTAAGTCTAAAGTTACATAAAACCTCAAGAGTAACCGTCGATTTCGACGGGTTTATGCTACAACTAACTCTGATAGAGAGTCGTGCCGCTGTAAGTTAATAAGGTTTTATTTATTCATTTCATACATACGGGCAAGGCAAACTCCAATTAATTCCAAGAACTACGTCAAATTTATCAGTTTTTTAGTAGTGATTTCTATACACTGTACCCCAATGCATGTATAGGGTATCATTATTTTTAATTAGTTTAATTTTTATATTAAAATTAGCCTCTTTTGTGAAAAACTCGTTTAGTTTATTCAACTCAGTCAGTTTTTAGTACTACGCTAAACTTAGCCATGCTTGGACTAGTTTGACTTGGTTGGGTACACATTTAAAAAATAATCCAACTAATCAAGATTGCTCTCATCAACGATGTTGTTTAGCATTCCTGTAGAAATACGAGTAGGCTACGACTATAGTTCGGCCGCTTAGAAAGCGACCTCCTCCAGCATTGGTTTAGCATTAGCGCGCAGGTCGTTTTCTAAGCGGCCGAACTATAGAATATTTTAACAAAGTACCGGTTGGTTTGGGTGAATAGGTAGAATAACATATGAGTTTATTTCTAAACTAGCTGTACCCGCGGGCTTTGCCCCGTTTTACTTCATAAGTGAGCTCATTCGCATGGCTCAATCACGTCCTGGTTGAAGTTCGTTCGCTACGCTCACTCACCTTTAGGTTGGAGCTCGTTCGCTGCGCTCACTTGTCTTCAGGTTAGCTTGCACCTTTACACGGTTCTTTGGAACTGGTACTGGCTAGTAAGTGGCTAGTTGTAGAGTGTTTGAGTGAATTAATGAAATATTAAGAGAGAAAAAATAGTAAACCATGTTAAAAAGAAGAACATAAAGGAATATTTATTTTTACAATATTATGAATTTCAGATTTACAATCTTCTTTCATACGCCTTGATTTCAACAACATTATTGTGAAACCTCTATAAACATGTTTTCAGAAATGATGGAAAATAAGGACTTGAACTTCCTCATGGTTCTCTGTATGTTCGTCATGCTCTACTTAGTAAGCAAAGTCTCTTATGCTGTTCGGCTGTTCCTCATCACAGGGTCCCTCCTGTTCTTCATCCTCGGAATCGAAGGCGTCATCAACAGTTCAGGTGGACTGCCGACGTTAAACGCAGTATTTTGTATCGTGGTGGGAGTTTTCCTCATGGTAGATTTCATCAAGCTGGTGTTCAGGTATTATTAAGAAGTACAGTGAAAAAAAAAATTATATAAAATGTGTATCACCGAATTTCAAATGTAGATCTGTGTTGAAGAGCTTTTGAAGGAAATTCATTTAATAAAATATATAAGTAAAAGTTTTAAGAAAAAAAAGAAGAAAAAAACATCAAATTATGTAGAGTGTTTGAGTGAATTAATGAAATATTAAGAGAGAAAAAAATTGTAAACCATGTTAACAAAAAGAACAGAAATGAATATTTATGTTTACAATATTTTGAATTTCAGATTTACAATGATCAGCTGTTGTTTTTAATATTAAATGTAAGGCTAGTAGGAAAAATTATCTAAAAGAACTGAACAGCTAGTGGATTGTCATTGCCTTAATCTTGCCATTGCCAAAAACTTCAATTTATGCCTATGGGTATCTTTTGTGTATTGCTCTTAATCTTGGTTAGCCTAATTTTACCCTCAGGATTCTTAGATATAATCCACCTTTCTTTCTTAAATATAAGGAAACTGGAGTAAACCAGTGTTTCACAGTAGCCTTACCTTTCTTATGACTAGCAGGGATCTTAGAATTAGTCCTTTTTCAGTCTTACCTTACACCTGTATATTATTCATTCTCAGGTCAGTGTAGACTGAAATTAGTATATTCCATATACCTACTTGTTTAGTCTATAAAACAAATAAAATCTTATTTATTTGTCTACTTAATAGCCTAAATCTGTATCAGCCCCGAAACAGCCATTTGTGTATTAACTCTTTCAAGCACAGTGTTACGTAACGGACTTTTTGACTTTTTTGCTGCACGGTGTTACATCTTTGTAACGCGAGACATTTTATTTTTTGTAAACGAGACTACTAGCGCTATGCATCTGGAAACTTTAAATGTTAGTACTATGGACCTTTGCTAGGTGGCAGCACCATCCGTTTGTTTACACTCTTACAAATAACTCCTAGAAAACAGCTGTTCCTGGTGAAAGACTCGTGCCCAAGATCCCGTCTTTATTTTTATGCAAATGAAAGATATGTTGTTATTGATTATATGATTCCTATGCTGTTTTGTAATGTACTATTATAATAGCGTCCCTTGTAATAGTTTAGAGTCATAAAATCAGTAAACTAGAATGTATTTTGATTTTTCAAAGTGCCTTACTCAAATGTAACACCATGCAGCTCAGCGTTCCAAATATATCTATCCATAAATAATAAATTAACTATAAAATCCTCCAGAAACTTAATTTTAATTGCGTTTATGCATTTTTATAAATAATATGACATTATAAATAGGTTTTGTCATATTTTTAGCTCGATATTAATAGTTTTTATTATGTCATTACAATTAAGGATAAAGTTTGGGCATATTGGAACATTTTTTTATTGAGACCCGACTTTAAATTTACGTTTATATTACTTAAATATAAATTGGCCTTTATATACTTTGTTTTGGCTAAGTAACTTTTACATTTTATAATTTTTTTTTACATTTATCAGTGTGTGAATTTTCTTTTACTACATTTATTCAGGTCTCCATATGATGTTGTAATGCTTTATATTGAATATGTGTAAAATATATACTTTGTTATATTGTAATTTGCATTTGTATTTATG